TAAACGAAAAATCAAGATTTAATGGTTATTTCAACTCTGATTTTGATGATTTTTTTATAGCTACACTCCTTGACCCTATATGAATACAATGACTGCATTCGATCGTCATTTTAAAATATTTACACTAGTGGATACCACAAAGTCTTATGTTATATTTAATAAAAGTATAAATAAACTCTTGATTGTTAGTGAATATATTGTTTTGATGGCATATGTATTCTATGAAACTAGTTTTAACGATCCAACCGTCAAACTTGTTTGTTTATACTTCGAGATCGTATACCCCAAAAATCAGAAAAAATAAACATTCAGAGATCATGTAAAGGGACAAAACTTTTCGATGGTTATAAACAAAAATCACGATTTAACGGTTATTTTAACTCCGATTTTGATGATTTTTTATATCTACACTCCTTGACCCTATATGAATACAATGAACCACTTCGATCGTCAATTTAAAATATTTATACTAGTGGATACCACAAAATCTTATGTTATATTTAATGAAAGTATAAATAATCTCTTAATTGTTAGTGAATATATTGTTTTGATGGCATATGTATTCTATGAAACTAGTTTCAACGATCCAACCGTCAAATTTGTTTGTTTATACTTCGAGATAATATACCCCAAAAATCAGAAAAAAATAAACATTCTGAGATCACGTAATGGGACTCAGAGATCATGTAAAGGGACAAAACTTTTCGATGGTTATAAACAAAAATCACGATTTAACGGTTATTTTAACTCCGATTTTGATGATTTTTTATATCTACACTCCTTGACCCTATATGAATACAATGACTGAATTTGATGTTCAATTTAAAATATTTACACTAGTGGATACCACAAAATCTTATGTTGTATTTAATGAAAGTATAAATAAACTCTTAATTATTAGTGAATATATTGTTTTGATGGCATATGCATTCTACGAAACTAGTTTCAACGATCCAACCATCAAACTTGTTTGTTTATACTTCGAGGTTATATACGCCAAAAATCGGAAAAAATAAACATTCAGAGATCAAGTAATAGGACAAAACTTTTCGACGGTTATAAACAAAAAATCACGATTTAACGGTTATTTCAATTTCGATTTTAATGATTTTTTTACAGCTACAGTCCTTGACACTATATGAATACAATGAACCAATTCGATCGTCAATTTAAAATATATATTTTCTAACAAAAACCCAATCCGAACTACAATAATATATTTTTCTAACAAAATAATTTTTTTTATTTTTGTAAAGACTTTGCGAGACGAAGATTATTATTTCTTCGCGCAAAGTCATCCAAAAAATTTTAAAAATACTTTTTTATTTTATTTATTTTTGTAAACACTTTGCGAGACGAACGAGAATTCGTCGCGCA